CCATGCAGCCATCCGCAGTACATTCAATCTTCGGAAAAATGATTCCAGATAGCAACGTCTGACTCAAAAATGAGTTGGTCAAGATCACTCGGAGAGCCAAGATCTAGCAGCAGCCAAACTAACATGAGACGTTATAATGACCATGCCAAGATCTAGTTGGAAGTAGCTTTTGAAGGGGTTAGCTACCATAGACTTGTCAATTCATTAGGCAATATATAGCAGCAGTATAACTGACATGAAATATTATAGTATCAATTTATCTTGTTTTAGGTTAGACTGCCAGCTACAGCAATCAAGAGCTATCGCCTTGATGCATGGTTTGGTTTGGTTTGGTGTAGCTTAGTATTTTATGTTCTTTTTTTCACGTAGGAAAAGATACTTGATAGATATGACACTGATATAACGATATACAGAAAAAGGGAATGCACCCAAAAGGCCTGAGGGTTACAAAAAGACCTTCCAGTTTAACAAAAGATCATTCGAACTGTAACTGGAATGCTGAGAGTAAAAACATTTCCATCAACCAGAAGCATGAACAGAAACCCTAGCACAAAAATTGTAAAATGGGAAGGATTTGTAGTTAAGAGTTTAATGGTTCTTCTTTGTCCAAGGGCCTTGGCGCGTGTTTCTTTTTAAAGGGAGGATTCTAGTTCCTTCTAATCATAAGAATGTCGCATATGCTTTTTAATACCTATATTTATATGTTTAGTTTTTTATTTTTAATATCATATCATTAAGTAAATAGTTAGCAAAAATATAGATGTATCTAAAACAAACGAATCTACATGTACACGATATGTCCCGAGTCTGATTTTTTTTTTTTTTTTTTTCAAATGATACATTGTTGTGATCATGTTGCATCATGTCCTCGTTTCTGCTTTCAACTCAACACAACATAACCCAAAAAAAAAAGAAAAAAACAAACCACGTAATATAAGGTAAAAAATCTTCTCAAATTTTACCTTATATCCATTAAGGAGTAAGCCTGCATATGGTCATGGTTCAGTAGAATAAGAGGAAGAAGATCAACCCGTTGCGATTCCAAACCGAGCTGCTCCAAGGTTGAAAGAAATCTTTGTCGCACACTATCACAACCGAAGGGTTTACACTTCACCACGAGTCTAGAATTCGGTATGGCACATAGAATCCTCGCCCAAACTTGTAAAACTTTAGGCGTAATCTAATGAGAGGCAAAAGGAAGGAGAAACGGCAATGCCCATCATTAGAACACAAATTTAACCATGCAGAAATTGTATGGTTATAGTTACCTTCAAAGAAATGAATGATTAATTGGATAAAAAAGGAAGGAAAAAAAAAAGGAAAGAAATGCATGAAGACAAATATAAATTTATTGTTAATCTATACCTTTGCAAGATTATTGAAGCTACCAAATGTAATGAAGCCATTAGAAAGGGCTGGAGCACTGGAAACAGTACCAGCTTCAGGAGAAGGTGTATAACAAAGGAAGGATTCTGGCAACCTAACCAACTCCTCAACGTGCCTGTGATAAATAATCGCATGATAACGCACATAATTGATGTAAAATACAACTCCACAAGGTTTGTGCTTAAATTAGTATATACAGGAGACCTACTTCTGTTTTGTATTGGGAGGATCTGCCAGTGCATCTGAAATCCGGTAATCAATAGTGGGCAAGCCAGTTGTGTTTGGGTAGCCTATCCAAGTTACCTAAATAAAACCCAGCACCGTCCATCAAAAGTTAACAAAACATTAGAAGATCTGAAAAACTGTAACTGGAAAATTCTAAAGAGTAAGTAAGAAATATGCAATAATAAAAGCGGAGACTTGAGGTAAAAATCACTAAATCCATTTCTGTGTTTCTCATTTTCGGAAAAAGAAACTAGTTTCATCAAATAAATGTAACTATCGAGGATGGGGAAGGAAAACTAAAGCCCTAAGCTAATAAAGGAAAACTAATTTCATCAAATATATAAACTGTCAAATCATTTAATATGAACATGACATTAATATAAGGGCAAATATCAAAAGCATCTGTAAAGAAAATTCAGTAACATCGAAGCAGGTATCATCAGCTAAACTCTTGAAGACACTGAAGCACAGTGCCAATTACATAAAAATACATTCAACAATACATAGACAACTATTTTATACAGCAGGACACCAAAATGTAGATGGTAGTCAGTTCAAAAACCAAAGATGATGCAAGCTAATGAAACAATAGTCTGTCAACGAAAGAACAAGAAGTATTTATTCCAGCATACCTGAAGAGGCGCAGGTCTACATGCCATCATCCCCAACTTGTTATTAGCTGTATGGCCAGTAAGCTCCACCAAGATATCCACTTTGTCTTCCCTGACCATGCTTGCAACCTTTTTTTCATCAATTCCATATATATCCCTCCAAACCCCACCTTGTTTTAAGACTTTATCTCTAAACCTAATAGTTTTTGCATCTCCCTGTAAAATCATGTGAAACGATCAGTATTGTAACTAAAGCAGTGAAAAATAGCAGGAATGGACCTCTTTTTTTGGTATAAACTTCCAGGAAAAAAGAATGGAAAGATAGTTAACAGAGTAATTCAGGAGTTGTAGAGCAAATAAAGTTATAACATTGAACTTCAAGTCGAGTTAATGAGAATTTTGAAAGTACAAACATTAGAGGATGGCAATCATGACAACGTTTACAAGAGAGGAATTTGAAAGAATCTGCGAACTGGTAAGCTTGGGAATATTACTGATAAAGTTTGAGAGTCATTGGAATCTCAAGAAAGGGTACTTTCAGTACTAGTATCATGATAAGGGAATCGCTTTGATAACAAAACTATATATGGTGCAAAGTGATAAGTAAAACAAAAATTAAATAATCAAACATAATAAAAAGCTCGCAACAATGTAACTGTATACCTTCACAACAGCAGAATAGACTACAACTTTGTAATTTGCATAATCATGATGGACTAGCGGGGCTTCAATGAAATACGACACTGAGTGAGTAAAATAATCGGGAGACACATAGCCAATAACAAGTGGACGCTCTGGATCTTTAGGGTTATCCCATGATTTATATTGTGGATACAGCCTCATAAATCGCCTGCCCCAATCCCTATATAATCACCAACAAATCTAGTTAAATATAGGACCTCAACTCAAGTTAACATCAAAGCTACAAAAAACATTTGACATCAACATATTTTAATATTCATCAGTATAGTAACAATAAAATAAAAAAAATATGCTAGTGTATGTTGCTGATCACAGAGCAAAAAGAAAATCTGCAGGTAAACTATGGTTCTCTCATCAACATAAAGGAAGAACTTCCCAACAATTCTCCATACAGTTTCAAATAAGGTAATCAAGCTTGTTCCTTAAAATCATGCCCCAGAATGCTTTATCTAGACAAACAGACACAAGAAGTGCAACCGGCTACGGTGGATTTGAACTGTTCGAAGAATCTCAAACCAACCACAGTGGAACTGCTTTTTACTAACAACAACCAAAATACTGAACGACATCTCTGTCAAACAGGTCACTTCATAAGGCAAACTTATAATGTCCTCTCAACCAACCTCCCTTGGTCCGACCCTGAGAGCATGAGAAGCATTTAAGGAGCAACAACTTTGTAGCCTTTATCTTGCAGCATAATAAGTACTTAGTTGTGGTGAGGAATAGTCAATCGAACAATTCATTCTGGATGAGTCAGTCTGAGCAGTTGCTTGCAGGTGGTCTAGGGCTATTATGACAGTTAATTGATTAAGATAATTCATCCACACATGACGAAATTCACAATCACAAGTTTCCAGTTCACTTACTAATTGGATTCTCCACTTATCATCACAGAAATAACTTTTCTAGGGAGTTTGAATTGCCCTAGAGTTAAGAATGAGCATCTTTCAGGGTTTTCTTTGACTTTTAATAGGATCTAATGCGATGTACAGTGTCACGGGTCTAAATCTAGCTTTTGCCTTCATGTCAGGCTTTTGATATTGAGCTGTCCTTAGACGACATCTTACTGCATCTACATACATGTGGAGTTTGAATTTTTAGAGTTAATAAGAATATCCCTCGTCACTCAATGGAGGATTTTTCTTAATTATAAACAGATAGAATTCTTCTTTATATTTATTTCATCATATCAATGAAATGATTTGTGTTTCCCATAAAAAAGATATATTTATAAGAAAAAAACTTTGATTTGCTTTATTATAGGAATATTAAGATGATTAGAAACAATAAAAATAAAAGCAAAATGGTAAAACAAAGTTAAAGCATGCACGCAAGATTGCTAATGTAGGGGGTTTTAGGGTGGAGGAACCATCTGAAACCTGTGAGCCTCGTAGAGTTTATGTTTGTATCCTTCATCAATGTAGTTCATAGCAAGCAATCGGTTCTGAAAGAACAAGAAATTAATGAGCAAGAAATCTTTGTCTGAGGAAGAAAGTACAAATTTAGAAAGAAGACAATTTTATTGCGTTGTGTACAAGGAACCATATTCATCCTTTTTCTTTCCACATTAACTTATGGCTGGATTCTTTTTCCAATAAGAATCCATTTATGTATTGTGAAAAAAACACCAGGACAAACACCAAACACATCCCCAGCCCTAGGTTGTGAGATAATTGAGATGGAAAGGAAAGACGCGTGGGGGAAGTCATTAGATAAATATAGAGAGAACTGCATGAAAAACACCAGGAGACTCCAAACACCAAACTTTGCGGTCTGCGTAACCATAACACAAGAAAGTCCTTGAAAGATGGACGAGGCAAGAGACAACTCTAAAAGGCTTTTTAAAAGAACAAGGACATAAGACTCTCTAGATACCCATTTGGCACTACAAAATGAATAAAGAGCTACCTGGCCAGCATTCCGAGAGTCAGGGTCTATTTTAAGGCAGCGCTCATAAGCATCAACTGCCATGGAAATGTTTCCAGCATCCCTATGCAAAACTCCTGCAAAAGTAATCAAATGGCCATTTTAAATCTTGTTTTTGTTATTATTATTATTATTATTATTTTGTGTGTTTGGGGGGGGGGCAAACTACAAAGGACTAATGTTGCATACCACAAAAAAGGTCCTCAACTATTCTTGTTCATAGATAATTTGACTCAAAAACAATTTTGAAAAAATAAATAAAAATAGACTTTGACCTCCAAAAGACAATGTAAAGAGAGAAAAAAAAGTAAATAGATCATGTTTTATCTCAGGACTACTGCATCTTTCAAAAATAAATAAATCATCTAAATTTTTGTAAAAAGAAAATAAATAATCTTAATCAACACTAAATATCAATGGGCTACAAGAGAAGAAAATTTATTAAGGCATGTTTGCCTTTTCTGTTTTTATTTATTTTTTTTTTATTTTTTTTTTTTAATACTATAACCATTTCCTTAACTTTTTATACCAGTTTTTCCATTTTCATTCAAGCTCTGCATTGATTCCCTTAAATCGAATAAACATCATTGTTTTATACTAATTAATTATATAGAGTTTGGGCTAATACTAAACAATAAAATGAGGTAGGCAGTGAATAAGTGTTGAGGTGGCTACAAATTCGGCTAAACAACTTTTTTCCTCATTACATTACATATAATTAACAAATATTTTACCAAATTGAGAGCTTTATTAAATTGTTTAGCAATGTTGATGAGTCTAAAATAATAGATATTCACACTTGGGATGCTTTCCAGAAACTATTATGAAAGAAAAACTACCAATGCTGTATGAAAAATATAATTCATAAACATGTGCAATGCATGTGCGCAATGAATCATATGACCATGAGAAGTAGTAAGGTCCCACATAAAAAAAATTCAATGATATATAAGAAAAAGAACAATCCCAATAAAACAAATTACTAGTCCTAATCAAAATAAATGAAGATCGAAAATTTTCAGCACAATCACGTGACAGAGCTGAACATTTTACACGGGCGCATTCAAGGATAAAATTGTACATTCCAGAGAAAAAGTTCAGAATGGACCTAAGTTATTGTAAGCTTCTGCATAAGTTGGATTTGCAAGAATAGCTTTTTCAATCATGCTTGCTGCAGCATCCATTTTCCCCTGATTATAGATGCAAATTTATGAATTCAGCATCCCAAGTAAAAGTTCACTTAAAATTCTACCATCAGTAATGAGTTAGTACACACACCTGGACCGTGTAGACAACACCAAGATTGTTCAAGGACTGAGAAAAGTTGGGCTTTATTGACAAGGCAAGCTGTAAATAGAAACACAAAAATGATAGAAAATCTACAATGTCAACGTTATAGAAGTCACATAGGAGAAGGAAAAAATCAAGTGGATGACTAGGGAAAGAAGTAAGCTTACTTGATAACATTCTACTGCTTTGTCCAAGTTGTCCTGATCCTTATATATAACTCCTAAATTATTACATGCCTCCGCACAATGAGGATTGAAATGAAAAGCTAGCTCATAGGAAACAATAGCCTGCAGAGCCAAGGAGATTAGGAAGTTCAGTGAGCGGAAGGGAGAGAGATAATGGATGGTGAGAACATGCATATCTGCGTACAAAAGAAACACTAAGGGGAGGGAGAAGAAAGGAATTTGTCCTCCACAAGAGCTAACCTTGTCAAACTTGAGCATTTCACCATATGCAACCCCAAGATTGTACAGAGCATCAGCATAATGCCAATTGTAATACAGAGCTCTCTTATAATATGCTACACCCTGGTTTATATCCCCCTCCAGTTTAACCTGAAAACAAATTTAACTTCATAATCAGGAACCCTCAACAAAATCTTAAGAGGAAATTTAATAATATAGATAACTTTAAAAAATAAAAAAATAAAAAATAAAAAAAAGTAGTTTTTGAGCCTGTTCTAACTCCTAATATAAAGAAAGAAAAGGGGAAAAGACCAAAAAAAGAGAAAAAATTGATTGTCCTTGATACTAGCAAATTTAAAGTGAGATGATAATTTTAATAGGATTTTATAGCGAAGTGAAGGATCATCTCCTTTCCAGGTTCCATAGCCAAAGATCTCATGCGAAATAAGTAAATGGCTGATAACAGAAGTGAGAGACCAGCGCATTCCTCAATGTCAGCTTTATTCAAGTTCCTCCCTTGTCTAAGGTTCCAATTGTCAAATTACGCAGTCCATGATTCTGACTTCTCTACAAGGAGATAAATTATCATAGGGGAAACAGTGATGCCAAAGGAACATCCAACAGCCAATGGTCGTGCTAAAAGGAGGTGGTTGCTCCATTGCTAATTTTGCAAACCAATCTATCCATCTTGAATAAGGCTTTGGTGCTTCAAAATCTTTTTCCAGGCGGCATTTGCAGAGCTTATGATCTATTGTTGGGCCTACTATTGAGAGAAGATTTACCATATTTTGTATCAATAATTTGCCTCCAAATAGCTTTATTCTCTTTCTGATACCTCCAAATTCAATTAGCCAAGAGTGCTCCGTTTCTTATTGTGTAGACCGAGACCCTTTGCTTCATGGGAAAGAGAGTTTTGTCCCATCTAATAAGGTGTAAACCTGAAGAATCAATTGAGCCTTTCCAGAGGAAATTTCTGTAAAAAATTTCTACAGTAAAGCCAACCCTTAAGGTAATTTGGGGGGGGTTAGATAGGATTGCTTTAGTACGCGTAAGCCTACCACCCTTGGCAATATGAGAATGTTTCCTCGTCCTCCTTTCTACACATGGGAGAAAAGTTTCAGTCTCTTCACAATATCCTAGAGAGAATTGTCCGTTAACAAGTTCAATGCAATACTATTCACAAGTATTTTAGTATAATCAGAACCTTCACGCAGGCTTTCTGAAGCAAAAGGCAAAACACCTCGATACATAAAACCTTACAACAATTCTAGATTCTAGTCCAGCCAACTAACAACAAACAGACATGATGCGTGGAATTAAAATGGAGCACCAAACAATGTATCTTCACAGACACCCAGTATAAAAGTAGCAAAAGAAGAAAATTCTAAGGAAATCAATAAAATTTCAAAAAATTGAAAGGAGTCGGGAACCTTTGTTCCTAAATCTGTCAAGGCAATTGCCATATTATTCTTTGCAATCTCAAAGTTGGGTGAAACGGCTAGGCACCTGCACCACAGAGTAACCAATCAGCTAGATACATGACCAGAGCATTAAATAAACACAAATACCTAAGATCTGAGAAAAAATTAAGCAGATAAACAACAGATAGAAATTAATGGCAGCATAAAACAAATGAAAGGGTAAGACTACCTCTCATAACAGGCAATAGCTGACTCTAGATCGCCACGGTTTTTAAATATTACTCCCATGTTGCAATATGCTTCCGCATACATGGGTCTCTCAAATGCAGCCTTCTCATAGCAATTAAGGGCTGTGTCATATTGCATCATCTCAGAATAGACAACGCCAAGATTATAATATGCAGGCTGCAGTTGCATGGGAAGTAGAAGTATAAGAACATAGTTTATGCATGGTATAATTTAAAAGGTAGATGGCCTGAAGTAAGAATAAGAAGAGTTTTAAGATTACAGCATAGTGTGGATCTATTTTGAGGGCTTCATAGTACTTCTGAATTCCATCTTGACTGTCGCCAGAGAGTTTTAAGCTGGTCCCAAGGTCAGTCAAAACAACTGCTAGGCATTCAGCAGCTGGTCTGTAAGAAGGGTCTACTCTCAAAGCCTTTTTATATGACTGTACAAAGCAAATTGATCAAGAATACGCAGCAAAATTAACATCAAATTTTGCAAAATAAAAAACATAATTAACATACAACATAAGCAAAAAGTTGGGATGAGGTATTAAGTATAAAGACCCGCAACAGAAAAAACTAGGACTTTTATTTAGAGTAGAATAGGCGAGCATGCAAAAGGCCTCCCAGCTTGATTATGATTTCAAAACCAAAATTCACCCTTGGACCTACTGCTAACCAATCCTTACTCGGAGAAACTAAGAAATTAGCAAGTGAGAAATCAAGCTGCATGAACTCATCAGATAAAGGACCACTCATAAAAACGGCATGGTTGGAGAAAGGTAGTGTGTCAAGACTATAAGAATTATGAAATTTAGTAGACATTTAAAATGCAACATATACAGAAAATAAGAGATATCCCATTAAACATTTATCAACTTTTGGGCTTATTCATTTTCTATATTGAATAAGACAAACAAAAACAACAACTAATTTATGCATTAACCGTTAGTGTATCTGTCGGAGATGAAATCTAATAATAATAAGAATTCTGAAAAAGGAAATTTTCAGAAATATTAAAAGTGATAAAAGTATAACATGGAAGGGGACAAAAAAGCTAGGATTTTTCTATTGGTCTCCCAAATAATAAATTGATAATAGGCTATCAAATTGCCTTAGTCATTTGTTAGCTCATAGTGTGAGAATGGATAGGATTGTATCTCATCCTGTAGGTAACTCGCTTCTTCGTTCGAATCACTTGCAATTTTTACATGCAAGTGGAATTCTTTAATCTCTAAAAGAACACACCAAGAAGCCATTCAGGCTCCAGATCTGTCCATGACAATATCAATTACCACAAAAGAATTTTCTAAGAACGCAAGAATGTGGTAGATTTCTAAATATGAAGCCAAGAATGAAGGAATTGACCCGTCAATTATAGATTAGCAGGTAAGAAGAGACTTAAGGGAACTCAGGTATAGCAGTAATAGGTTTCAAATGAACTACATTCTTTATCTCTTACATGGGATGTTAAGTTTGTTTATCTTACAGACGTGAAGTTCCATAGCATACCTCAACAGCTTCCATAAGACGACCTTCTTCCTTGTATAGAATACCACGATGCGTGAAAGCGCGTACATTCTGTGGATCCAACCTGATGGCTTCTGCAAAACTTTCAAACGCAGGCTTGATCATGTTCTGCATCTGTAGGCATATTCCTTTGCCAATATGAGCTTCCAAATTTTCATTATCTTTCTCTAATACTTTCTCGTAGAGGACAAGCGCATCTGCAAATTTGTTTCTTGATTGAAGAATGTTGGCAAGGAAGAGATTATCCTTGCCTTCGACCTTCTTCTCTGCTGAATCGATACTCACCAGAGGTAAACTAGTGTTGGAAGAAGACTGTGATCCTTGCAAGAAACCATTTTCTCTCACAGGGATTATCTCCCTTCCACTGCTATCGCCTTGTTCTGTCCACTCCATTTATGCTACAACCTCAGATTACAGAATCAACAATCACCACTGGTAAAAAAACTCCACCATTGATACCTCCAAAACTAACTTAGCAACAGGCCCTAGAATGGCTCTAAAACAAAACCCACTGTACCAAGTCAGAAGAAGCTTCTTCAGCCTAACCTGTCTCAGAAAATGCTCCTCGAACCCTATTTCATTCGATTCCAATCATGAAGAAATATTAGATAAAAACCAGCTACACAATACCCAGTACCCAGCAACAAAATTCATTACACAACGGATAGAAATCCGAAATCCTTAAACCCAATAACTAATCAAACAAACAGCAAAACAATATAGACAAATAAAACACCAAAAAAAAGACGATCACTAAATAATCAAGAACAAGGCGTCAATAAAGAGTTCGAGCTTACACAAAATGTTCAATCCTCCCCCTCCGAGTTCTATATCATGTAAACCAGTAAACAAAGAACATTGACAGCAAATACCAAGAACTGACAAACTAACCCACTGATAGCGGAAGCTGCTTAAAACCCCCCCCTCCGTCAAGCCCACTGATAGAATCGGAAAAAGGAGAAGTGGTAGAGAGGAGGAAGGAAAAACCCAGCGCCGGTGACCGGAAGAGAGAGAGAGAGAGATGGTTGGTGATGAAAATGGCGGTGGCGTCAGCCGAGAAGTAGCGAGTCGTCTGCTCAGCTGCTCTGCTACTCTCTCTCTCTCCGTGAAGGCGTACGATGATTCGATATGCCCAAAATCCGTCGGTTAATGGGAAATTTAGTAACTTTTTCCTTAATAACAACCAATCGAACAGATTAGAGAAATTAGGGAATTGGATACGCCTTTGCCTCCGAAAAATTTGCGATTCACGCCAATTTCTACTTGCTTTATACGTGTTATGAACTAATGATCCCGTTGCCTTCCTTTTTATAATAAATAAATTATTTTTAAAAAATTCAATATTATTTTGTTTTACCCAATTTAAAAAAATCTAAAAAAATCCCGTAGGAACTGTACGATCTTTTCCCCTAATTGTATTGAATCAATATAAAAAAAAGAGGTCAGTGCCACGGCCCCTATTGTTTGATCCAATATTGACCGGGGACGAGCCCCGACTTGCATAGGTCCTTGGTTTGACCTCACGTAGTGGTCCTTGCTTTTAATAAAGCGGGAGTCCGTTCACATGTTGATTTATTTTTTTTATCGAGCCAACCCAACCAACTCAAAAAAATAGGATTATAACTCTGTTCTAAGATTATTATACCTTTGTAATTAATATTAATGAAATATGGTAATTTGTAACTGTCGTAAAGTATTTTTAAATAATTAAAAATACCCTTTTCCAAATGGGATGCGAAGCTCATAGTTCCAACTTTTAGCTGAACCAGATTCTGTTAATAAGCCTACATATGCACCAAAGGTAGCCAAAAGAAAGAAGGAGAAGAAGAAGAATCCCTCTTAGGTCGGACCTCAATTCTTGCCTTCTTCGTCGCGATTGAGGGCAAGAATCATCGCGCATCACTGCTGCCGGAACTTCTAGCTGATTGTAATGGCGATGACATTAGAAGGTACAGTTTGCAACTTTTCCATATTAATTTGATTTCTTGCGATGATAAGCCAGTTACTGAACTGAATTTTTGCCGGCTTAAGGATGAGCGCTTGAGAATTTATGCGTAAACTTAGTCTTGTACCAGGTTTCCGAACGATGGATTTTCGTCGACTAAGAATTTATTTGTTCGCAGCTATTATGGAACGAGGGATTTAAGGGAGCAGTGTCAATTTAAATTTAATGGGAAATTGTTGGGGATTGTATCTTCTATCTCGTATTTGAATGATGTTGTGGACATGGGGAAAATCATGCATGGCACAGGAACGGCTAGTCTCAGGGGATTTTTCATTGTTCATAAACTGTTGATTAATTTTCGTCGATGTTCTTAAGTACTTTATTCTCTGTATAGATAGTTACAGAATGTATGGAGCAAGAAAATGCAAAAACCCTTCCTGTATAGGATTGAAAGTGATCCCATGATCTTGAATTTGAGTGTGTGATCCCAATCGGTTGGAGAGGGGAACAAAACATTCCTTATAAGAGTGTGGAAACCTCTCCCTAATAGATGTGTTTTAAAGTCATGAGGCTGACGGTGATACGTAACAGGCTTAAGGCAACGAAGCATTTCTTATAAGGGTGTGGAAACCTCTTCCTAACATACACGTTTTAAAATCGTGAGATTGATGGCATTATGTAATGTGCCAAAGTAGATAATATCCGGTAGCGGTGGGCTTGGGCTGTTACAAAGGGTATCAGAGATAAATATCGGGCGGTGTGCCAGCAAGGACGCTAGGCTCCCAAGGGGTGGATTGTGAGATCCCATATTGGTTGGAGAGAGGAATGAATCATTCCTTATATGTGTGTGGAAACCTCCCCCTAACAGATGCGTTATAAAATCATGAGGCTGATGGCGATACCTAATGGGCCAAAGCGGACAATATCCGCTAGCGATAGGCTTGAGCTGTTACATTAAGTTTATCTCCCTGGCTATGAGAACAAATATAATTATATCTAATAACCTGCAAAATCAGGTCAAAACCACTCTCAATGAAGCTGTACAAAGTGATTCCATTTTCTAGCTTTTTAAGTATTCTTAACATGGTTGTTGGTCAATACTATATACCACTGCCCTTGGAGTTTCATTTAAACCATTTGGTCCATTTGTTGCTCGTTTTCGCCTTTAGATATATCTGTCATTTAACGTTAACTAATGTTCTTGATCTTCATCGGGTGGTGGCTCGTGCTGTTCGGGGAACATGGATGGACCTCATTTCTGCAGTGTGAGTCGAATTTGTCAATACTCTGTAACCATAGTTCTGTTTTCTGATGTCTAACTTTATGAAAAAAATCTAAGAAAACGTCCCTCGGTCGCGCAGGTTAGCTGGGCTCGCGTTTATGTTTTCTTCTAGCATCTTGCTACAGATTTTGGTATGTTTTATAGTACACTTGTAATGGTTCTCTATCAGGAGGATTCCCTTTTATCTCAGTATGATTGTTAGAATTTTGAACGACTATTTTTCACCTGATTTTGTTATCATCCTGGCAGGCTTGTGCACTATACAACAATTGGTGGCCTTTGCTATCAGGTGAACATTAAGTTTGTTAGTTTTCAATCGATAACTTCTAATGACTGCTAAGCATGTTTTCTCTGCAGCGTTGATGTACGTGCTCGTTCCAATGCCATGTTTATTTTTTGGAGGCGGGTCGACGCAGTTTCTGATTAGCCGAGACGGTGGAGGGTGAGTATCTCTTAAGCATTCATATTGAAAATAGGTTCTCTTCAATTAAATGAACTAACCTTATGGAGATATGCTTGTGTCATGGTTTTTGAGAAACACGATGTTCTTATTAATGATATCGTGATGCAAGTATATCGACAGTATTCATTATATCTCGTGGTGTCACCCCTTGCATGTTAGAAATCACGACTCTCCACGATGGTATGATATTGTCCACTTTGAGCATAAGCTCTCATGGCGGCTTCCCAAAAGGCCTCATACCAATGGAGATAGTATTCCTCACTTATAAACCCGTGATCTTCCACTAAATTAACCAAGGTGGGACTCAGACCCAATAATCTTCGATCCTCAACATTCCATACACTCCCATCGATTAATTGTATCGGTTCATTTAGAAGTCCACATCATTGTGCTTACAAAGATTGAAAACGTAACAATACCAACACTTGAGTGCCTCGTCCTTCCCTTCGTGTTCTAACTTTTATCCTTCTTTCTGGCTGGTGTTCGTGTCGTTGCGACTTTCTAGATGGATAGGTGCTGCTAAGTTCTTGACGGGAGCGTCAACCGTTGGGAGTTTGGCAATTCCTATTATCCTGAGGCATGCTCAGATGATCGACACAGGAGCCATGTTCATAGAATTCGTTTCGTTCTTCATTTTTGTTTGCACTGTGTTGTGCCTCCACCGTGTTAGCCTTGAAGATGATTGGTGATCCCATATTAATTCCAGAAGATTACAACAATTTCTTGTGTTAAATTTTAATGCGTTTCTTTTGAACAGTCGATAACAAGAAGAAACTTGCAGTGGGGGAAAGGAAACCGAGTTCTAAGTTTCTCATATGTAAATCAATCTAATGTATGATAGTAGTTCTCTTTTTTTCTTCTTTTCTTATTATGTTCTATTAATGCTTGTGAATAGAAATAAATCAGTATTTGGTAAATTTTTATTTAGTTCATCACTTTTTAAGTTAATCTTTTAGAAATATTTACTTTGATCTTTGCCTCAATTTTTTGTTCATTTAGGAATGTGGCTTCGTAAATATTCAAATTGCTGATATACACCATTTTTAATGTTCTCAAATGGAACTTTTTTTTCAAAATCGTCCCAGATTATTTGATAACAAAGAATTTGAGTTTTTTTTCGAATAGGTCTTTCTTTTTTGTTTTTCAAATTCTCTACCGGTTTCATCTCGAACAACATTCCTAACTTCAATTCAAAGCATTTTCCACACGTGCACTTTGGAATCTTTTAAAAAAACTCGTTGATTTTTTTGTAAAAGTTGAACTCCAACTCGATCAGGGGAGGCAAGAACATCGAAATTAAATAACTCACTACACAAACAAAAATAGAACCGACTCTAAGGATTAACCATAAGTAAAATAAGACAATAAACAAAACTTTTTTAGAGTTCTCTCGACCATTCTAAAGTTTTCATTTGATGTTTGGTTTATGGATCAAATAATTGTTAAATGTCATTTCTAATTATTAATAAAAACAAAGAATTGAACAAAAAAACGAGACCAATAATTGAGTTAAAAAGAAAAACAAAATTACTTTATAAAAAAAAAAAAAAAGAGTGTGAAACAACCAAAAGTTCTACTCATTTTATTTGGGTTTGCGTGGAAAATCCCAATAATATCATATATTTACGTGTATTATACCCCACGACCAAATTGACTTTTTACTATTTTTTCTAATATTATCATACACTATTTTTCATTTTATTTTTTAAATGTTCAAACATTTAATTACATATTTTTAAATATTATTTCATTCCATCATTTTAGTATTATGATTTTTTCAATAAACTATTATTTATTTTTGTAATTATAAATAGAAATATGTGTTTTAATTTATAAAAAATTTAAACACTAAAAACTAAAATATTACTGAAAGATGAGGGGCCAAAATAAAATGTTTATAAAATTTTTAAACCAAATTGAAATATGTACAAATTTTGAAGCTAAAATCAAATCTTTTACTTTACAAAATAATCATTATCGTTATTTATATGTTAAGAAATCTTATACACCATAATATAATAATAATACACTACAAATCACATAAATCATAATATAGGTTATAAAAACCTATAATGTTATCACATCTTTTTATTCTTTACACTAAATATATGTTTTCTTTAAATTCATTCTTATGATAAAGTTTTTTAAAAGATTTGTATTTAATATTTTTTAATTATATATATATATATATATATATATATATTTTGTCGTCAATGTTAAAATTATATTATGATCATTTTCCAAATTTTAAATGTTTACTTAAAAAAAACATTCAACAAAAGAAACTATTTTCTGTTTATTTTTTTCTGACGATATATGGACGGTCACAATTATAAAAAAAAAATGCTATAAAAAGTTTACGATAGCGTTTTTTTTTTTTTTTTTTTTGT